GTCTTCAAGGTCGGCTTGCTTAATTTTCATCTCTCTGTGTTCTGCTTCCATTTGGTTTACCAGTTCGTCCAGTTTCTTGTTCTCACGTGCGTTCTCCTCCCGGTATTGCTCTATTATTCTTTCTTGCATTTGGTTCTTGTTCTCTAGAGCTTCCACTTTGGAGGTTAGATTGTTGATTAGTACCTGCATGGGAGCCATTGTGGCCTTCAGTGTTTCTTCTAATTGTGCTTCTAATCTTGCTTCCATTTCCCTCAGATCTCGTTTCGTTATTGGGTGGTCATCATCTTGAAGGGGAGTTACCATCTTAGCATTGTTTGTCATCTCCCTGGTTGGTGTCATCTTGGTCTCCCTGATGGTTTTGGTTTGAGGTTGGCTTGGCGTCCTCTTGGGGTAGGGCGTGTGGTGGTTAGGAGTTGTGGCAGTGGTGATTCCTGGGTATTGTTGGGTTGCTGAGCTGATCAGGCTTTGTTGGCTGGTGGCTTTTACAAAGCGTTTGGATTAGGTGGTCATTTGCGTCACTTCTAGCCTGTGTTTTAAGAACTTCTCTAGGGCTTTTGTAGATGCCTCAGCGGTGCCGCCGAGGCGGGGGGGGGCAGGTAAGCAGAGATGGGTAGACTAACGGACAGACAGTTCATATAAAGGGAGGGGGGTTAGCAGGTAGAGATGCAAGAGATTAGAGGGGTGGGGCCAGGGGAAATATGTGTTTAGGAGGGGGTTGTATATGCCCAAAAGGGGTACTGGGGTCCAGTTAAGGTGGAAGTTGGGGTTGGGAGTGCGCTCAGAAACAGAGACAGACAAATAGGCTATATGTAAAGGGTGGAGGGAGAAAAAAGGGAAGAAGAAGAAGAAGAAAGAAAGAAGAAGGGGGGAGAGGGGAGATTGGAGTAAAAGAGGAGAGAGAGAGAGAGAGAGAGAGAGACAAAAAGAGAGTTGAAAGAGAGGGGAGAGATGGTACAGTAATATCAGCGGTAATAGATTGCAGCAATAGTTTTAGCTATAGTATGAGGGGGGCAAATTATGATAGGGTGATATGAATGTGTGTATGTGTTTCCTTTAGGGGAAGGGGGGGATGGAGAGAGGGAGGAGGGAGAGAAAAGGAGAGGAGGAGGGGGAAGGGTGGGAAAAGGAAGGAGAAGAAAAGAGAGTGGGAGAGGGTAGGGGGGAGGGAGGGAGGGAGGGTGAGCTGTGGCAATGGTATGGGGAAAGTCGTATTTTAAAAGGGGGGTGGGGGAAAGGGCTCCCCCCTCAAAAACAAACTGACGAACTAAAAAGGCTAAAAAGGGGGGGTTGATTTAAAAAAATAAAAGGGATAGAAAACAAAGTTGGGGATGGAAATTGAAGGGTGGGATAAAAGGAAAAAAGAAGGAGGGGTGAAGAGAGAGAGAGGGGAGAGCAAAAAGGGAGAGAAAAATAAAAGGGGGGAGTTGAGGGGGAGAGTATCAATAGCAATAGCAGTGATATGGAGGAAATTTTTGTTTTAAAAGAGAGTGGTGGTCGTAGCTGGGGGCGAAGGATTCCTCCCTCAAGAAGAAGCTAACAATTAGAATAGAAAGGGCTTTAGAAAGAGGGGGGGGGAATTGTGTGTGGTTTTTTTCTTTAAAAAAACCACACTATTTCCCCCTAATTATTATTATTATCCTTTGTTTGTAAAAAAGTAATTAAAAATGTACGGGTAAAAGATAAAAATGAGAGATAAAGGTTAAAAAAAGAGGGGGTTTTTTTTTTGTGTGTGTATATATATATATATATATATATATATATATATGGATAAAGTTATTTTATTTTTAAAAATGTGTAAAGTACGAAAAGGATAGGTAAAAGAGAGTGGAAAGTCTGGGCGAAGTGGCAGTCCCAGGAAATGACCTGTGTTGTTTCAGGGCTCTTTTCTGGATACTGCCATTTTAATTCTTAAGAGGGGAGTTTGAGGTGAAAATAAAATGAGGTTTAAATTGAGGGGGTGTGTGTGTGGAAAAGTGTGTCTTTAAATAGTGTGTAGAAAAGGTAGAAATAAAAATAAAAATTCAAATAAAGGGTGGCTGCAGCAGCAGTGGTCCCTCTTTTAAAAAGAAAAGTGATAAAAGTAGGTATATGGGGGGGAGGGATAAAAAAGATATTTTTTTTTAAAGGGGGAGGGAGGGGAGGGAGGGGTTAAAAAAAGGGGGTTAAAAAAAAGGGGGGGGAAGGTAGTTTCTTCCTTTCTGTGATCTCCTTTGTTATGTGGCTTCTCTGTGTTTTCCTTGCCGCTGGAGCTCCCGGAGCCTCTTTTGCCTTCCCGTGCTCACCTACCTCTCCTCTTTTTTCCCGTCGGCAGAGATGGGGGCAGCAGCGGTAAATTTGGGGCTCCTTTTTCTTTCTTTCTTTTTCTTCTTCTTTCCCCCTTTTCTTTTTCTCCCTCTCTGCGTTAGCTCCACTGTCCTCCTGGTTTTGGAGCTCCTCTCGGCTGTTGGGGGGGTGGTCGGGTGCCTTTCCGGCTCAATCAAGGTCGTGGGGGGGGTGTTTTGGCTCCTTTGATAGACGCCCCGGGCACCCCCGATTCCTCTCCGCTGGCGGTGCTGGCGGCAGCAGTCCTGGGAGCCCGGGAATCGGCCAGACAGAGCCTTTTACTCTGGCTGGCTTCAGGAGCTCTTTTCTGCTGTTGCAGCCGCCATGCTGCCTCGCCGGAACTCATCTAAAACAGTTGTTTTTAACTGTTTTTATTGATAGTTTCATTGTTTTATTCCTTTTGTAAATAGCGGATGGCGCTGTGCTCTAAACCACAGAGCCTAGGGCTTGCAGATCAGAAGGTTGGAGGTTCGAATCCCTGCGACGGGTGAGCTCCCGTTGCTCAGTCCCTGCTCCTGCCCACCTAGCAGTTCGAAAGCACATCAAAGTGCAAGTAGATAAATAGGTACCGCTCCGGCAGGAAGGCAAACAGCGTTTCCGTGCGCTGTTCTGGTTTCATCAGAAGCGGCTTAGTCATGCAGGCCACATGATCTGGAAAAACTGTGTGCGGACAAACGCCGGCTCCCTCGACCTGTAAAATGAGATGAGCACCGGCAATCCCCGAGTCGTCTGCAACTGCACTTAGCTGTCAGGGGTCCTTTACCTTTACCTTTTTAAACTACTTTGAGGGTTTTTGTTTTTGTTTTTTAAAAAAAGAATCAAGCAGTGTATAAATTTTATGATATAAATAAATTTGCAGTTGTTGTTCTTGTTGTCCCTGTATTTTTGTTGAAAGCCCCCCCCCCCCCAAGTGGCTGGGACAACCCAGTCAGAAGGGTGGGATTAAATCAATCAATCAACAAAGAATATGGCAATTGCAAAATAAATTAAATGTACTTGGCTAGTTTGCATAATTTTGGCAGGCTGCAGAATCCAGCTGCTGTTGGTGCAGAGTTTGCATTACCCAGGCAAATCTTTTTTTAAGCACGGAGCATGTGCCGGCTCTGGACTCTGTGTCTACAATAGTGCACTTGGTGCTATTTTTTGACTTCAGAGTGGAATTTGTTGCCCTAAGAGTCAAGGGCACTTTTGAGTTTCCATCTGTCACGTAGTCTCCCTCCTTGTTGCCTGACGGTGGTCTTTTTAAAACATTTGTGGCCTGTGCCTTTTGTTTTAATTTATGTCTTTAGTGCTTGTGAAAGGTCTATTTTTAAAAGGGAGCTTGTGCATAAAGGTCTTACCAAATTGGGCACCCGTGCCCCTAAAATGTTGCCTCTACCTTGTGCACAGTCAGGCTGGTTCTGAATCCAGGCTGCCTCCAGATTGTCACTGTTCAGTCCATACTGGAAATTTAGGTTTCATGAAGTTAAACTGGGTCAAAGAGCACTGTTGCAACAAATCTGCTTTAAAAACACACAGCCCTTTTGCAGTTAGGTGATGTGGGGCTGCACTCAGAAGTGAGGAAGAATGATCAGTTGACAGGAAGACATATGATGTCCCTGCAAACAAATGAGAACAAATGCTCAGTAAAGACAAGGCATTGTATAACCTCTTTGTGGAAGCAAATTGGGATGGAATCTCAATAAACAGGATGCTTGGAAGAGGCCACAGTTAGACCCAAGTCAGGGTGAGAGCAAGCAGGCGTACCACTTCCCCCTTATAAAAGACCTCCTTTCTTCCTGCAAAGGACCCCTCTAGGGTTGTTGCCCAGTTCAAGATATCTTAGTGGATTCATTGATTAAATCTGCATATGTTTGCATACAAGGGGGAAAGAGTTAAAAAGAAAAAGAAAGTGCTTGCATTTATCATCTTAAAAGAGGCGTCTCTTCCCATGTGAGGGAGGAGCAGGAATGCTTATTGTAAGGTGTGTGGGTTTGCTGCCTACCTGCCACTTTCGTAAGTAATTCTATTCTATTCAAAATAAAAATAATACTTTTCTTTAAAATTTACAGCAGCTTTGTGTTTGCTCTGACCAGTTACTAATTGGCTAATCACTGCTGTGATGATTCTTGCTGATGGAACACTGACCACCCCCAGCTTCAGTGGCATGTGGTCAGTGGACTAGGAGGACTGGGCTAGTCCGTAAATGCTTCTGGTAAAGAGGAGGAGACCCTTGAGAGTCCCATGGACTGCAAGAAGATCCAACCAGTCCATTCTTAGGGAAATCAGCCCTGAGTGCTCACTGGAAGGACAGATCCTGAAGCTGAGACTCCAATACTTTGGCCACCTCATGAGAAGAGAAGACTCCCTGGAAAAGACCCTGATGTTGGGAAAGATGGAGGGCACAAGGAGAAGGGGACGACAGAGGACGAGATGGTTGGATAGTGTTCTCGAAGCTACCAGCATGAGTTTGACCAAACTGCGGGAGGCAGTGGAAGACAGGAGTGCCTGGCGTGCTCTGGTCCATGGGGTCACAAAGAGTCGGACACGACTAAACAGCAACAAAAATTAGAGTATTAAAGCCTGGCGCCTCCTTCCCAAAGCCCAGGAAGCTTCTACCCAGCTTAGGCACAGTGCTGTCTACACTGACTGGCAGTGACTCTCCGGGGTTTCAGGTTGGGGACATTCCCTGCCTTATCTGGCGATACCATTGGGGATTAACCCTGGGACCTTCTGCATGCAAAGCAGATGCTCAGCCACTGAGCTACAGCCCTTGCAGCTTACTCACTGCAGGCAAGTGCCTGGTGACCACTCCCACTATTGAAACTTACATTGGCCTGAGTTCTTGGTGTGGTCTAAGTGCCTGGTGATGGCATTCTCTCCTTTGGACTTTGAGCTGCACAATTCATCTAGCATGGACACCAGCCAGTTGCCTCATAACTTTCCAATCAAAGGCAAATGTTTTCATGCGTTCATTTTATAATAAATACACCACCAAGCTTTATGCTAACAAATATTTTGTGGCAGTCATAACTAAGCAATCAGCTAAGTTTTAGTAGGAATAGACCCACTGAAATTTAAAGGAACCAAGTTAGCCACACCCATTAATTTCAATGAGTCTTCGTTGAGTAGGATTACTGTAGGATTCAACTGTATTCTTATTCTTTTATTCTTATTCTTATTCTATTTCTTACTCACTCTTCACTGTAAGGTTACTGGGTTGGTTATAGCAATGTAAAAATACAGTATTAAAATCAAGTGAAACAATTTGAAATCAGAAGAACAAGCTGAGTCCTAACATGTGTCTCTCTCAGGTGTCAAAGGCCAAAAAAGTGTATCTTCAGCGTGTGATGAAGTATTTACAATGAAGGTAGCAAGTACACCTCTATGGGGAGGGAATTCCCCAAATACTAAAATCATGGATCAAAGATTCCATTTGCTTAATGTTTTGGAGCACTCAGGGCTTCTTAGGTGGTTCAGGAAGAGCAGATCCTGATCTCACTCTTCCAGGGCTTGTAAGGTTTTCCCTGTGATACCTGCACCCCCTTAGGTGGTGGCGGGGACGAAGTTCACATTTGGACATAGAATTTGTTTTCAGTGTTTTAACTTCGGTCGGCTCGCAAGCCCATTCTACTTTGGAGGCTGCAGTTTGAAAGAGGTTTGGAAACGATGGCTTGCCCTAGCTCTGTTTTGCCATTTTGCCTGAATTCACAGACTATTAACTAACCTTAACCTTGATGGGCGGTGTTTAGCCATGTTAGCGCAAACCATGGCTATATCATCTGTTGCTTGAATTGAGCCTTAAAAGAAAATCCTCAGGCAAACAGCCTTTTTTTAGCGAGAGTTTCTGCACTCCGAACACATGTAGTTTCTGCTGAGTATAATAAAATGCAAGGAGTTTCCTTCTAGATGGTTTTTGCTAAATTTAGGAGCCTGGTGTCATATATTTATATATTTATTCAAAATATTTCTAACCCACCCTATATCATCTGATCTCAGGGCAGGGTGCATATTTCAGTTAAAACAACAATTCACCATGTGAAACAAACAATAGGAGTAGTCTTTAAAAAGCAAAGTGAAGAATCCTCAAACTGAGCAGAAAAACTGACTATATCCAGATCTTGATGTGCTGTTGAAATAAGGCCATTGCATCCTGCCCATCACAGGAGACCAGCACCCCCCAGCGAAGTTCCCCACACAATTTATAGCTCTGAAAGAGGGGGTGTGGAGGAGACCCTCCGTGGCAGAGGAGAGCAATGGTCAGAGTGTTGGACTAGGACTTTGGGAGACAGAGGATCAAATCCCCACTCAGCCATGAAACCCACTGGGTCACCTTGGGCCACTAATTGACTTTCAGAATATCCTTTCTCAGAGGGTAGTTGTGAGGATGGTACAGCGAGGATGAGTACAGCCATCTATGCCATCCTCTAGCTTTTTGGAGGAAATGCGTGTTAAAAGTTTAATAATAAAAATAAAATACTAATGCTCAGGTAGGACATTGTAGGAAGAGATGCACCTAGGCTCCAAGATCTTGAGGGCTTTGTAAGTCACCATTAGCACTAATCACTTGCCATGTGGCCCTTATTCTGCAGGGGACATTTTGTCTCAGCTAACCTTCACAGGTGTACCTAGAACATCACCAAAAACCCCAGTTCAAATTTTTAGGACAGCATAAGGAAACTTGATATTTATTGAAATTATATCCCACCCTTCTTCCTGAAGGAGCCCAGATATGTGGTGTGATATAAATTATATGTGATATAAAATTATTCTCATTTTGATCAGCTAGAGGCTGTTTTTGCTTTCTTCAGGCACCTGGGCAAGGGGTTATTTGCAGATGGTTTTTAGTGTGTGTTTTGAAACTTAGTTCCTTCTCCCTGAGGCAGAAAGAGAGGGAGACCCTGAATCTTTACCTCCTTAAGAATCTTTGGGGTGCAGTTTCATTTAAGTGTTAATACAGTTTGCCTTTTTAAATTGTAGAGTGTATTTGCAAAAATAAAAAGGCCCTTCATGACTAAATGTTGCTTCTTTTATGTGCCTCGGAAGAAACTCCTAGAAAGTTATTTGACACCCACGCAAAAGAAACCAAAGTCCTGCCCTTCTGCTTGTCATTCCTAATAAAGTTTGCTTAGATCTTAATTTTTCTACTTCACTTCACAAAGTAATTGAAACTTCCTTTTTGCTGCGGTCTCCCACCCACCCCCAATGCTGAAAAAGTACATGTTTTGGTCAGTGAGTTTATGGAATGTCACCAAGAAATGTAGATGTTCTTGTCAGGAAAGGTTTTTGCCCTCCTGATTTGCACTCAGGACTTGGGTTGGAGGTGTGGGAGGTATATATTGGTTGACAAGCAATTCCCTGATGCTGCAAACCATCCTAGACGTAAAGAACCTGTTCTTTTCTCCAGAGATGTCTGAACATGCAAGCAGAGATTTAGGAAGTGAAGCAGATCCTGAGAGAGCCTCAATACCTGCAAACATTGGACAGATCAAGTTGAGGTGGGCAGAACTGCACCTGGAAGGCGGTTTGCATGCTTTGTCTGCTTGGAAGGTGTCACAGGCAAGAGACCCTATTTTTAGAGACCCTTGAGCAGCGCCTGTGAATTTTTGCTGACCGAGAGCATGAAGGAATCAAAAAGTCTGCCCCCAAATTAATGTCCCATGTTATAGAAAAATAAATAAATAAATAAAGAAAGAAAGAAAGAAAGAAAGGAAGTTGGCATTTCTCATTAGTGGACAAAACCAAGCATTGTTTTCCCTGAAGCTGCAATAATTTCCAAAGGCTGTTAAGGGCCTTTTGTCCATAAAACAAGATTTTGATCTTACTTACAAAAGTCACGTACCAAGTTAGTATTTCCCCCCCCCTCCCAGTGGACTGCCAGTGATGTAGAAGGTATAGGGAATGGAGAGCAAATGTTAAAAAATAAATGCTTGGAATAGATTATCAATGCAAAACCAAAGTTGAGTTGAACACAAATTTGAGGGATGTAGGTGAGGGGAGGGAGGAATGGAAATTAAAAGAGTTGCCTGCTTAACTCTGTCACAGTTAACCAGGTAGAAAGCATTGTTAATACTAGAACTGTTCCTTCTTCTTTTCTTTTCTTTTTTTTTTGGCATTTGTGTGAACTTATCTGGTTGGCTTGCAGTAAATAAGCAGGGTGGGTGGGGAATTGAAATACAAAGTAAAACGCAAGACCATTAAAATATCAACAAACAAAAGCAAGCAATGAATAAAAGCAGAGCTCAATGCAAGACATACATGCGCCCAAATTAAAGCAGAGGCTACGACTACTATGGGCAAATGACATGCTAAAGACACTTCACGCACCATAGTCTTGAGAAAACAAGTGCTTTTGCCTTGATTTACAGTTAGGGAACACCAAGACCTGGAAGTGCACATGTAAGAAGGGACCTATTGGCTGAGCCACCTGGGCCAACATCCTGCTTTGATGGTGGCCAACCAGATGCCTCTGTGATGCCTTCAAGCAGAGGAATGAGCCCCATGGAACGCAGTAGGGCTTACCTAGGGAAGGGCTGTAGTTAATGATCTTCTGCTTTGCTTTCAGAAGACCCAAGGGTAAAGCCCCGGCATCTCCAGGTAGGGCTGGTCCAGAGACACATTTGAAGCCCTGGAGAGCTGCTGCCAGTCAGTGTAGACAATTTTGAGCTAGAAGGACCAAGGGTGTAAGCAGCTTCCTGTGTACTTAAACAGAGGGGCGTGCTTCTGAGTAGATGTGTGCAGGATTGCACTGTTGGAAGACGTGAGATACCACTGTGAATTTCAACTGTTCAGTGTGTGTTTGGGTCCACTGAGGAAGCTTGCTGAGTATTTTCTGCCCTTCGTTTTCAGACACTTTCACCCTGCCTTTCCAATTTTCAGCTATGGTCCGCTGATTATAAAGCGGTCTGTTGAGAGGTAAGTTTGCAAAGCTGGAGGGGCAGAGACAGGAACCAGAGGTCAGGAGGCCGCAGGCAGAGTCAGGTCGTAACCTTTTGAGCAGGAGACAGGCATAAGGGGGCGCTGGGATTTGCCTCTCCATTAAAAAAAAAAAAGCGCAGTTGATTGCATGAAGGAATGTGGTAACAGGATTCAAAGGAAACATACAGAGCTAACAAGGATTAACCTTAATTATTTGCCCTGGTTCTTGGAGAAGGGGCAGGAAGTGGGTTTACATAGGAAACCCAGAATTAACCCCCAGCCTGCCTCTTTTATCAGAGTGGTGTGGAATGTGACATTTTTTAGAAACACAAATATATTAAACAGAAAACACCAATCACTTCTGATTGTTTTTTTAAAACAACAACACAGACACCAAAAAACCTGTGCCTTTGAAGCAGCAAGTTATCCTGGTGTTGCCTTAGATTAATTCATTTGTTCAAACAATGCCCTAAAGAAGACTTACGGTCGGAATATTCTGCTTTATTAGGGCGGTGGCAGGGTTGTGTGCAATTTAATAATTTGAACAGTGGGACTGGGGAACAGGTATGCCAAGCCTGCTGCACCCCTCCCAGGTGTAAAAAGTAAAATGCTATGTTGGACACGATGCTCAACATACCTCTTTCAGTGTTGTGTGCATGTAAATAGTTCCATGTAAATGGTGGTGAGCTGGTCATTGTTGTGGCTGGGTGGAGAGTTCAAAACCACCACCACCCTAGACTGTAGCCTGGAGCAAAACTACCCACCAAGCTTTCCCTTCCTTACGCATCTCTCATTGGCTTCTGCGGGAGATGCCCTCCAGGTGCAAATAGTTTTCATCAGGATCCTATCTTCAGGGGGGAACTCTTTCTCCTTCCTGCCACACCCCCAGTTCTAAGTCTGATCAGGCACCCCAGGCAGCTGCCTGCATTCCTGCAAATGTTTGTGCAACACAAAGAGGCACATGTTTAGTCTCACGTGAAGTTTGGGGCTGAAGATAGGTTAATATGTGCCACTTCTGGAGAGGGCGAGGGGAGAAAAGGTGGAATCCTTGCAGTACCATATGATGGAAAGTGCTTAATTTATACAAATGGGAAGATAAGAAGCTGTCTTATTTGGTGACAGGTCAGACCACTGGCCCACCTAGTATCGCCTAAATTGACCCAGTCCTGCTTAGAGCTGCCACCTGGGATTGAACCTGCGAAGAGGTGCACTGCTGTTGAGCTATAGCCTTTCCCTTGGATGATCCATGGCTTTCCTGTTCCTTGCTAGGAACTTGGGCAGCAGGAAGACTAGTTTTAATGGCTACTCCTGGACCAGCATAGGTGTCCTCCACCAAAACAGAGTGACTTCCAAAAGAGCCAGTGAGATGTTGCAGGTTTGAGTGTTGAGCTTTAGCTGAAGAGATCTAGAGATACAATAATGGTTCAAGACTGGGAAGAACCAGTAGTATTCCCAATGTTGCTGGACTCCCCAACTCCCATCAGCCCCATCCAGCATGACAAATAGAAAAGATGGGAGTTTGTAGTTCAGCAGCAAGTGGAGAGCAACAGGTATAGCTTTATCTTAATCTGGAATCGTTCATGCTCGTCCTCATCATGCGGCTTTCCATCTGGGTGGTTGTGGTTGCTTGATGTGCACTTGAACACCCATGCCTTTTCCTCTTTCCACATGCCCCAGGTGAATGAAGAAGGAAGTGACAATTGCAGTCTTGGACTATGCCCACCCACAATGCCATTGGGCAGGTGTGAATATGTCTCCCATTGCAGGGATTGCCAACATCTGCTTTCAAAATGGCATAGTGCAGAATCAATCTACAATGAGCTTTTCTTTTCAAAATGAAACTGGCTTCTCAAGAAGCACTTTGAAGCTGGAAAAAAGTGCAATGGATCTAGATGGTGTGTGGCATATGTAGAAAAAAAACAAGTACTCTGTCTTCATTGAATAGAATAAAATCCTCTGTGTTCACAGTGACAGTTGCTTTATTCTAGAGAAAAGTAAAGAGAAGAGCTGGGTAGTTTTTATAAGCCAAGTTTGGTGTATGTCACGATTTTGCAGGAGCAGAATGTAGTCGTGGGTGTCTGTGTTCCTTTTTTTAAAAAACAGGAAATTTCTGGGCCTTCTGGCTCGAAAGATAAACTTGAAAGTGGTTTGTGGGCGATATGTTGATGTTTCAGACATTGGAGAAGTGGTTGAATGATACTTCTCAGTCTTTTTTTGCGGGGAGGGGGTTGCATTGGTGTCCTTGCCACTCTCATACCTAAAGAAGGCATGATTTTTTAAAAAAATAATACAAGAGAAAAGTCTTCAAATCTTGCTGCTAGAAAAGGTAGCGAGCAAATTCAGTTTGGATTGCAAAATCTTGAGAGATGCAAATCCTGTTGTGCTGTGGAGGAGGCCCTAGGCATCTCTGGCTAAATGGGTCAGGGGGTGGGATAGACCTCAGACTGTCTCTCCCTGGCCCGTGGGATTGTTTTCACACCAAACCCTCTCCTCTGGCCACATCCTTCACTGACCCTGCTTTGCCAAGCTAGACCTCTGATAATGGTCACACCCATACATATCACAGAATAACAGGATCATAGAACAGTAGAGTTTGAAGAGACCCTGAGGGTCATCTAGTCCAGCCCCCTGCAATGCAGGAATCTTTTGCCCAGCGTGGACCTTGAACCCACAATCCTGAGATTAAGAATCTCATGCTTTGTTGACTGAGCTAACAGCAGTGGGTGTCCTTCTCTTGTCTTCCTTCTTTTTCTCTGTTTTTCCGTATTATTTCTGGGTATTTCTTTTGTTTTTAAGAACAAAAACAATAATTTAAAAATGAGAAGCTTCTGATACCTTTAGGAGCTGCAAACCTGAGCACCCTCCCTTGCCCGAAAGCCCCGCTGAGTACAATAACAGCGGTACGCAGGATTGTCCTGTAAGGGTTGGATCCAGACCTCGTCCCCCTTGGAATCAATGGGACTCAAAAGTTGACTCACTACCATAAGATATAGTGATGCACACCACTTTGGACTGCTTTATGAGGGACTGAAACAAATTTATGGGGCTGCTAACCATGATGGCCGTGTCTTCCCTCCATTGTTGGAGGCAGTTCCTGTGAATTACAAGTAGGGGGGGCTGTTGCTTGCAGGCTTCACATTGGGGTTGGTCACCAGGAGAACAGGATGATGCGCTATGATGGGTCTTTGGCCTGAGCCAGCAGACAGGCTCTTCTGATGCCCTCATGTTTTTGGGTGGCCTGCTATGCATTGTAATAAAATAGGACATGCATTACAAACACGGAAAGGGACATATTTGCATAACATTTGCATATCTCACCATAGCATGGAAGTAGAGGGAGTAGAGTAGCTGAATGTTAAAAGATTCAGGACAGAGAAACAGAAAGTCCAGCACAGTTAAAGTATGGAGTATATATTTGAACATGGCTATCATATCACCCCTTAACCTCCTCTTCTCCAGGCTAAACATGCCCAGCTCCCTTAGCCGTTCCTCATAAGGCATCGTTTCCAGACCTTTGACCAGTTTGGTTGTCCTCCTCTGGACACGTTCCAGTTTGCCCGTGACATTCTTGTACTGTGGTGCCCAGAACTGGACACAGTACTCCAGGTGAGGTCTGACCACAGCAGAATACAGTGGCACTATTACTTCCCTTTGATCTAGATGCTATACTCCTATTGATGCAGCCCAGAATTGCATTGGCTTTTTTAGCTGCCGCGTCACACTGTTGGCCCATGTCAAGTTTGTGGTCAACCAAGACTCCTAGATCCTTTTCACATGTACTGCTCTCAAGCCAGGTGTCACCCATCTTGTATTTGTGCCTCTCATTTTTTTTTGCCCAAGTGCAATACTTTACATTTCTCCCTGTTAAAATAACCAAGCATTGGTCATTGGGGCATCTGGTTGGTCACCAGGAGAACAGGATGCTGGACTAGATGGGCCACTGGCCTGATCCATCAGTCAGGCTGTTCTTTCACTATAAAGTACATGGCAGCCCCAAGTCTTGGTTGAGGACCAGACTCTACTGATATTTAAGTGTTGCATGATGACTTGATATAGCATTTTCTTTGTGGGTGTGGGTGGGTGTCTGTGTCCATCCACTTTGATGTGGACTGGCTCCATCTAGCAGCAGCTATTTTATTTAAGTCGTTCATATGGCAGCTGCATTTGCAGGACTGGACCCTGGGGTTGTAAAACAAGTATTTGTAGAGGGAAATTTGGGAATGAATGAATGGGAAGGCAAGGTCTCTCTCTCTCTCTCTCTCCCTCACCCCTTCCAGAACAGAATTCAGTTTCCTAATGTGCCTTTTGGCTCCTTGGCTTGTACAGAGGGGGTTATAAATCTTTCTCATTCTTTTCCTCCTTAAAAAAAAAGTGTCTGGTGTTCTCTCTGTAGTAAATCCACAGGCCCTAAGCTGTCAGCAAGCAAAGTGGGGAAAAATGTGGGGTGGGGGTGGGGGTGGAAATTGAAATCCAGACAGCCTTTGGTTGTATAGGGTATTTTAAGTGCATGCCACAGAAATAATTAGAATTTCTTGTTTTTGTGGTGAGGAGCTTGTTGCATGGAAGGGAACCGTATATTCTTTAGACCCAGGTGACCAGCCAGCAGCTGAGGACACAGACAACAAAAGGCTTGCTGAAAATAGCCCCCCCCCCCAGCACCTGGGCACTGAACTCATCCAGAGGGCCAGTTTCTTAGCCACTTGGCAAAATTTGGCAAGGGTCTGGTTCCACATTGTAGGCCATTGTAGCATACTGGGTGAGGCTTTTGTTGTGAAAGCTGCCCAAAGAACGTCTCCCCCTCCAAATTTAACTATTGTGTGCTCAGAATACCTTGTGACCATCCCATAAAGGCTGGTTTTCTTCCCTGCTCCATCTAATTATAGCCAGCCCCCAATGAGCATGGCATTGGGAAGTGTGTTGCATGTCCTCACTCTTGTAAACAGCTCCTTAGCTACCTGCCTGTGGTGAGTTAAGTATTTGCTCCCAGAAAGAGAAACTCTTGTAAACTAAAAGCAGGTTCACTCCCTTTTTCTTTCAGACCCACACATGTGCCTGGAATGATTCGTGAAAGTTCATCTCAGGGGTTACCAAGTTTTTTAAGCATGTGAGCACAGCTGGAGTTTTGAACAAGTGCTGTGAGCATGACCCCTCCCCAATTATGTCTCTCTTGCCCCCTTCCCATTTAGACTGAAAGAAAGTGGGGACACACACACACACACACACACACACACACACTTTGCTTTTCTAAGGAATCTGGGTAAAAGTTAGATCCAGTAGAATTAATATGGGTTTTGAAAAAGCAATGGGGCTGAAAGGTCAAGTGGAAAAGTGAGCCACTCTTCTAGCTTCCTCCATCAGCTCTATGTACTTTACAAGTGTGTGTGTGTGTGTGTGTGTGTGTGTGTGTGTGTGTGTGGCGGGGAGAAGGTAACCATCCTCACCACTTCATGGCCAAGGAGACAGTGAGTGAGGTGGGCTCAGAGGTTTCATGGGCAGCAAGGAAAGACATGAAAGACACCATGTTGGTCATCCCTAGTTTATACACCTGCGGCTGGTTGGAGCAGTAGAAATTGGATCAGAAGTCCTAAATCTGTAACCCTGAGTAGAATCCTAGAGCAGCATGCTCAGTTTAGATCTGGGAATTTGCCTTCTGAATTGGAATGATAGTTGGTGCAATGGATGTTCCACTTTGGTGTTGGTGGTAGTGGTTGGTGAATTCAGGCACTTCTTTGTTTGGACCCTCTCTTGCACTGACTGACTTAGTGAAGCTTTGATAGTCTGGTTAGTGGAAATATTTGCAGACTAACAACTTATTTGCAAGGCTACCTTATTTCTACTATAATTTAATACTACAATATTTATTTTATATTTTATATTTGTTTACATCCCTTTACAAAACATATTTGATTCATTGCATAATAATAATATTTTTATTTATACCCCGCCCTCCCCAGCCAAGGCCGGGCTCAGAGCGGCTTACAAGCAATAATAAAAACAAGTTGAATGATTACAACTTAAAAACAAAATTAAAATGCAACATTAAAATATTTAAACATTAAAATATTAAAATATAGCCTCATCGTAGGAGGAGAAGGAAAGGAAAAAAGAAAGAGAGGGAGGGAATCAAATTGGCTCCAAGCCAAAGGGCAGGCGGAACAACTCCGTTTTACAGGCCCTGCGGAAAGAAATCAGATCCCACAGGGCCCTGGTCTCATGAGGCAGAGAGTTCCACCAGGCCGGAGCCAGAGTTGAAAAGGCCCTGGCTCTGGTTGAAGCCAATCTAACTTCCTTAGGGCCCGGGACCACTAGGGTGTTGCTATTTATGGACCTTGAGGCTCTCCGTGGGGCATACCGGGAGAGGCGGTCCCATAGGTACAAGGGTCCTAGGCCGTGAAGGGCTTGAAAGGTCAAAAGCAGCACCTTAAATCTGACCCTGTACTCCACCAGGAGCCAGTGCAGCTTGAAAAGCACTGGGTGAATATGCTCCCATGGCAGAGACCCCGTGAGGAGCCTCGCTGCAGCATTCTGCACCTGCTGGAGTTTCTGGGACAGCTTCGATCAGAGTGCACAAGTACAAAGTTATATAAAGGAAAATAGGGGTCCCTACTCGAATAGAATAGGGACGCGGGTGGCGCTGTGGGTTAAACCACAGAACCTAGGACTTGCCGATCAGAAGGTAGGTGGTTCGAATCCCCGCAAGGGGGTGAGCTCCCGTTGCTCGGTCCCTGCTCCTGCCAACCTAGCAGTTCAAAAGCATGTCAAAGTGCAAGTAGATAAATAGGTACCGCTCCGGCGGGAAGGTAAACGGCGTTTCCGTGCACTGCTCTGGTTCGCCAGAAGTGGCTTAGTCATGTTGGCCACATTACCCGGAAGCTGTACGCCAGCTCCCTCGGCCAATAAAGCGAGATGAGCGCCGCAACCCCAGAGTCGGCCTCGACTGGACCTAACCTTTACCTTTACCTTTACTCGAATAGACTTGAATTCTAAAAATCAAGCTATGCGAAAGGAAGGTAGGGGAGGGGCTAAGAAGGGATTGATATGAACAAACACAACTACACATGATTACTTTTCCCTTCTGTTGGACGAGAAGTAATGCATTTGGATTTGGAAGTGACAATATGTTTTGTTGGCATGGAAATTAATAGTATTTAGCACCTCAAATAGCAGAATTATTATTACTTTCAAATTTATAATTAATAGTGGTGGTTGGTAGAATGAACTCTGCACCTGCTGGTAGCAATGGAAGTGGAATGTGGTTACAGCCAGTTTGCACAAGAGCCCATGAACAAGCCTCCTTGATGTAGGAAGCTTCTGGGTGGCATTAGCAGCTTCTCAGTTCTTAGCAGCTACACCCACCTGTGGAGAGCCCCCTTCCATCTCACTCGGCCACTTACTCCAGCACCACATCTTTGTGGTAGTGTGCTGCAAATTCTCCTGAGCTGATGAAAGGGGGGGGGGACACACTTTCTCGCTGTCTGTATCAATTTGGGAACTGACAACTGCTACAGTCACCTGGAGCCTTCCTCTATAGTTACAGTGTTAAAACAAGCCCATAATATGTAAAGGTAAAGGGACCCCTGACCATTAAGTCCAGTCGTGGCCGACTCTGGGGTTGCGGCGCTCATCTCACTTTACTGGCTGAGGGAACCAGCATACAGCTTCTGGGTCATGTGGCCAGCATGACTAAGCCACTTCTGATGAACCAGAGCAGCGCACGGAAACACC